AAATCAAAAATCTCGTAACGTACCGATGTTATGGTGCAAAATCGCACACAAGAGCATTTCAAAAGATTAGAAAAAAAGTCATCATCTCTAAACTCAATGTCCACTTCAAATTCAAAACTCAGATTCAATCAAATGACAATACACGAGAAAGTTACACCAAAACATAAACCAACAAATACCAAAAAAAAAATGCAATCAAAATAGAAATAAAAAACATTATTGGAGTTGGTTAAATCATTAGACCCGGTTTCCTTTTGCCTGGTTTAATGTATTTATAATTTTGTCTGGTTTAGTCATAGCTGTTGTCTATAAATAGAAATAGAGCAAGTTGTACATATAAGGAATGAAAATATCTTTTCATCGTAACAAACTTCTTCTTCTCCATTCCTCATTACGTAATATGGTATCAGAGCCATCGAGCTCCATTGTTACTTAATCTTCTTCGATTTTTGTCAATTCAAGCTCATCTTCATTCCGATCATCGTTTTCCCATCTCCGATGGTGTCGATACGGAAGATTCAAACTCGTCGATCGGCTCGATTAGGTGCTTCGTCAAGCGCAGCGAGGATCTCCGAGAAGAGTTCCGAGATGGAACTCTCATCCGACCTCTTGATATGAATCCTAACTTCCGTTTGTGGTCTAGATGCAATAGTATGGTTATATCATGGTTACTCAACTCTGTATCTCCTCAGATATATCGTAGCATTTTGAGATTGAATGATGCAGCTGATATATGGAGTGATCTACACAGCCGTTTTCACCTTACCAACCTTCCTCGCACATTCAATCTCACTCAACAGATACAAGATCTGCGTCAAGGAACTATGTCCTTATTAGAGTATTACACAACTTTGAAGACTCTGTGGGATAATCTTGAAGGTGCAGATGAACCTGATCAACGATGTATCTGTGGGAATGCAGCTCATATAAAACTCAAGGCTGAGAGATCCATGAGATCCAAGGTTGTCAAGTTCTTGGCAGGGTTGAATGAGTCTTACAACGTCATTTGCCGTCAGATAATCATGAAGAAAGTGCTTCCTTCACTTGCTGAGATATACAATACTCTTGATCAGGATGACAGCCAGAAAGGATTCTCAACCATCACACCATCTCCTACTGCTTTTCAAGTCTCTGAGACTAACCTCACTGATCAAAGCGTTGCTTATGTTCAGAACGGTCCCAACAAAGGTCGTCCTATCTGCTCCTTTTGCAAACGGGTGGGACACATTGCAGAGAGATGCTACAAGAAGCATGGTTTTCCACCTGGATTTGTCTCTAAGTACAAAGCCAATGAGAAGCTTTCTTCAACTCCCAAAGTTGCAGCTCAAGTTGTGTTATCTCCTTTAGTGAATAACGAAACAAAGAATATGTCTGTTGAGAACATAATTGGGAATCTCAGCAAAGATCAAATTCAACAGTTCATTGCGTTATTCAGTTCCCAACTTCAAACCAGCTCAACACATGTTCAGAATGATCCAAGTACCTCTGGTATCGAATTTTCTAACTCCACCAAATTCTTTGTTGGTATTCTAATGGTGTCTCAACACACTATGTCTTCTCAAATGTGGGTCATTGATTCTGGAGCGACACATCATGTGTCTCATGATAAGAATCTGTTTACCACTATTGGCACATCCGTTGTGAGTTTTGTGAATTTACCAAACAAATCTACAATTAAGATCAGTGGTATTGGGATGATCAAACTTAACAGTCACATTTGTCTCAACAATGTGCTGTTTATCCCAAAATTCAGGCTAAACCTTCTCAGTATCAGCTCCTTGACTTCTGATTTTGGTTCTCGTGTGATATTTGATCCTTCTTCTTGTACCATTCAGGATCCTTCCAGGGAGTTGACGATTGGTCAGGGTAGACGTATTGGGAACCTCTATGTGCTGGATACAACTACTCCTATTCTCTCTGTCAATGCGGTCGTTGATCATGGAGTCTGGCACAGGAGGTTGGGTCATCCTTCCTATCATCGTCTGGATGTTATCTCTGAAGCATTAGGTACTACACGACTGAAGAATAAAGGCTCTTCTTATTGTCATACTTGTCATTTGGCAAAACAGAAGAAACTATCTTTCCCCTCTCTCAATAATATATGTAACTCAAACTTTGAATTGTTACATATTGACATTTGGGGTCCATTCTCAGTTGAAACCAATGAAGGTTACCGTTATTTTTTAACGATTGTTGATGATCATTCACGTGCTACCTGGATCTATTTGTTACACGCAAAGAATGAAGTTTTATTGGTATTTCCAGCTTTCATACATTGGTTGAGAATCAGTATAACGTGAGAGTCAAGTCAGTGAGATTAGACAATGCACCTGAGCTTCTGTTCACTGATTTCTATCATGAAAAAGGGATCAAGGCCTTCCATTCATGTCCTGAAACTCCAGAACAAAACTCGGTGGTTGAGCGTAAACACCAGCACATTCTCAACGTTGCTTGTGCTATCATGTTTCAGTCTCAATTACCATTGCAGTTTTGGGGTGAAAGCGTCTTGACTGCGGTGTTTCTTATCAACAGAACTCCTTCTCAGGTTCTACAGAACAAAACACCGTTTGAGTTTCTAACGGGTAAACCTCCTGACTACTCACAAATCATCACTTTTGGATGTTTATGTTATGCTTCAACGTCACCAAAGCAGAGACATAAATTTCATCCTCGTTCTAAAGCCTGTGTGTTCCTTGGATATTCTTCTGACTTTAAGGGTTATAAAATTCTGGATTTGGAAAGTCAGAGGATCTTCATAAGCCGAAATGTGTTGTTCCATGAAGATATATTTCCCTTCAAGAAGAGTTCATCGTCAGAGAGTTACTTGAAGAACTTCACATCCATAGACTCCCAGCTTTCAGGTAAACTCACTTCATCATCACCATCTCTTATTCCATCTCAAACCCCTATTCCTCCCATTCCTATCCCACCATCAGAAATTTCTTCTCGCCCACGTAAATCCCGTGCTCATTTACAAGATTATTATTGTAACTCCCTTACCAATGATATTGCTTACCCTATTTCCGATTTCATTTCATACTCTTAACTCACTCCTTCTCATCATGCTTTTATCAACACGATTACCAAAATACCTGTCCCTACTTCATATGCTGAAGCTAGAGAGTCTAAGGAATGGTATGAAGCAGTGGACAAGGAAATAGGAGCTATGGAATCAACACATACTTGGGAAGAGGCACAATTACCAAAAGGGAAGAGAGCTATTGGATGTAAGTGGTTGCACTCATTAAAGTTCAATGCAGATGGTACTTTGGAGAGACGTAAATCTCGTCTTGTTGCCAAGGGATATACTCAAAAGGAAGGGTTGGATTATAATGATACTTTCTCCCCTGTTGCGAAGATGGCTACTGTGAAGTTACTACTCAAAGTAGCAGCTTCTAAACATTGGTATTTACGACAGTTAGACATCTCTAACGCGTTTCTAAATGGGGAGTTGGATGAGGAAGTTCACATGAAGTTACCTGAAGGATATAAAGAGAGAAAAGGTTATACATTGCCTAAGAATACTGTTTTGAGACTGAAGAAATCGATTTATGGTTTGAAACAGGCATCAAAACAGTGGTTTAATAAGTTTTCTGCTACATTGATTGCAATGGGATAAACTAAAGGACAGGGAGATCATACTTTGTTTGTTCGAATGTATGATAATTCTTTTACAGCAATATTGGTATATGTCGATGACATTATAATTGCCAGTACGAACAAGGCTCTCACAGACAGAGTTACTGAGGATCTTACTCATTACTTCAAGCTTCGAGATCTTGATAATTTGAAGTATTTTTTGGGTCTGGAAATTGCTCGTAACTCCACTGGTATTCCCATTTGTCAGCGTAAGTATGCGCTTGAACTACTTGCTTCGACTGGAATGTTAGCCTGTAAGCCTTCCTCTGTTCCTATGACTCCGAATTTGAAGTTTTCTAAGACTGATGGAGATCTCTTGGAAGATACAGAACAGTATAGACGTATTGTGGGTCGCCTGATGTACCTTACTATAACTCGTCCAGACATCACTTTTGCTGTCAATAAACTCTGTCAGTATTCATCTAAGCCTCGGACTTCTCATCTTACTGCAGTCTACAGGGTCTTACAGTACATTAAAGAAACGGTTGGTCAGGGTATTTTCTACTCTTCTACGGCTGATCTTACCTTGAAAGGCTTTGCGGATGCAGATTGGGCATCCTGCCAAGACAGTGGGCGATCAACGACAAGGTTCAAAATGTTTGTTGGCTCTTCTTTGATAACATGGCGATCCAAGAAACAACCAACAGTTTCTAGATCTTCTGTCGAGGCTGAATATCGAGCATTACCTTTGGCATCATGTGACATGATGTGGTAACACATTTTCTCAAAGATCTTCGGGTTTGCTCTTTGACTGTCCCAGTTCTCTATTCAGACAGTACAGCTGCAATATACATTGCCACGAATCCATTTTTTCTTGAGCGGACTAAGCATATTGAGCTTGACTGCCACATTGTCCGAGAAAAACTGGATAAGGGCCTTATGAAGACGCGTCATGTTAAGACTGCAGACCAAGTAGCTGACATTTTGACTAAACCTTTGTTCCCTCACCAGTTTGAACATCTTAAGTCCAAGATGAGCTTAATCAAAATATATAGCTCATCTTGAGGGGGCCTATTGGAGTTGGTTAAATCATTAGACCCGGTTTCCTTTTGCCTGGTTTAATGTATTTATAATTTTGTCCAGTTTAGTCATAGCTGTTGTACATAAATAGAAATAGAGAAAGTTGTACAGATAAGGAATGAAAATATCTTTTCATTGTAACAAACTTCTTCTTCTCCATTCCTCATTACGTAATAAACATCAAGAGGCTTTTACCCATTTTATTTCAGGAATTAAAGAAACGCAATGTTGTTGTAATGACGGGTAGTTTAGCAGATCAATTAGCCGCCGTTAACGGGCACAATAACGGCTCTGTCAATTTCGGCCTCGTTCCGTCATAAACGAACAACGTGAAGCCTGGAATGGTTCAGCCGTTAACAAATACAGATCTCTCTCTGGCGCTATCACACGGATCCATCCTCCGCGTCGCGTACCAAGGAGTTCCCAGCGCGTACTCCAAAGCCGCGCTGGAAAAGCTTACCCGAACTTTAAAGCCATCCCGTGTGATCAGTTCGACGTCGCGTTTCAGGCGGTGGAGCTCTGGATCGTGGATCGCGCCGTCCTTCCGGTGGAGAATTCTCTCGATGGTTCGATTCACAGAAATTACGATCTCCTCCTCTGTCTCCATCTACACACCGCCGGGGAGGTTCAGATCCTTGTCCACCACTGCCTTCTTGCTCTCCCGGGAGTCCATTCTCAGCACAATTGATGGACGATCTTCTGCATCACCGTCTCCACACCGTCGGGGAGGATTACGATCTATAAAACAAAGAACCCAACCCAACCATTTGTTGTCTGCTGACATGGCAAAATAAAGACTTTTTTATTGGTGGATTAAATAATCCGATGTGGATAGTTTAGAATTTGAGAATATTCCTCTTTTAATATAGTACTGATTTTTTGTAACTTTGTTTACTGAATTTTTATCGATAGTTAACGTTCCATACTTTGATAAAAAAAAAAAAGAATTAAAGTTCCATACTCGGTGTATAATATTTTGCAAAGTAGATTAATATAAAAAAATATTAGACACGATCAAAAACAAATTGACAAAACCCTTTTGCGTTTCCAATACTATCATTTCATGACAAATAGTTATGGACAACTATTATGCATGGCTATTTAATTCCTACGTGCCAGTCGTTTACTACGTATAGATGAAAATTCACTACAATTTCAAGCTCAACAAAAAAAGTCACTACAATAACGACGACTAGCGGGATAAAATGGTGCATGTATTTACCAAAACCAATAAAATGGTGCATATTAGTTGTTTTTTGCTCAAAGTATGATAAACCGACGCGATCACTCTCACACCAAACCAGTTCTCGATGGACCTTAGAAAGTAAATTCCACCAATTGATCGGGTGATTGTGGTAATGAGGCGCGATCACTCTCACACCAAATCAGTTCTCGATGGACCTTAGCAAGTAAATCCCACCAATTGATCGGGTGATTGTGGTAATGAGGCGTATTATGATTTTCAGCTTCGATCAATCTACTTCACTAAATTATTTCCACAATTATTCCTGATCATCTAACACGAATATGGATTCATGTTTTGAAACCTATTTGAATGTTCGAAGAGAAGATTTTGTTTTTTGCTAAAAGGTAAATATCATATTAATGAAGGTTCAGATTTACAAACATAGTAGATCTAAGTTATGTTACACCTTGGCAAAAAAAAAAAAAAAACAAGGTAGTAACAGAATTTGGACGAACTAAGCAACAATTAGTGCATCCACTTGGCCATGAGGTTTTGGAATTGCTTCCTATTCCTCCTAGAAGTTATGGTGTTGCGAATTTTCCTGTCAATGAGTCTGTATATCACTGATGGAGGCTTAGTAATCTGGTTATGAAGCACATTGTTTCTCTGCTTCCAGAGATGATAAATGGTGCATTGGACTACAAGCTTTTCTAACAGAGATGGGACCGTTGTGGAGGTGCTTCTGATCCATGAAAGGAGCTCAGGCCATGAGCAGAGCAAAGTATTGGGCAGGCGAAGACTTGGTATAGATAGACGCCAGACTTCAGAGTTGTATTCACAGGTGATAAATTGATGATCTCTTGTTTCCTCAAAAGCAGAGCATAGACAGCAAGCTGTTGGGATTTGAAGACCCCAAGAAGTCAGTCTTGCTCTAGTCGGTGACTTGTTCATATTTGCCCCCACATAGTAAAGCTATTTCTTGGAATAGCTCCTTTAAACCAAATAACATCCACATTAGGCAGAATCGGTAGTGGCCGTCTCAGATCATGCCATGTATTACGTGCATTAAACCTGGCTCCTCTCTTGCATTTGTGGCCCTTACATACGAATCATCTGATTCAGAGAAAGTAGGGCACTGAATATTCGTCAGATAAATATGGAGTTTCAGAGCTTCATTTGATCTTGGAGAAGGAAGAGACCACCCTCTTGTAGAGCAAGCTTCTGCACTGTGGCGTTAATAGGTATCCGAAGTTGTGACGGGTCCCTATCGCCGAGGAAATTTATAAGCTGACCAAATGGAGTCCAAGCATCGCACCAGAAACTGATTCTTTGACATGTTCCAAGCCGTGGCTTTACAAATGTAATCCCTTCAGCTCTAAGCTTTAGAAGTTGTCTCCAAACCCATGAATCTGAAGCCGAACATTAAAACCAAGGTAGTAACAGAAGAGAAGATTTATCTGTGGGATATAAATCCTTTTAAAAATTAGCTTAGGTTTATCCATAGGTCAAGGATACCTTCAGATTAATAAAAAATAAAAATAAAAAAAGTAAATCCCACAAATTGCATCGTCTGGATCCATTGAGGATCTACCATGATGTATCATGTATAATGTATTACTCGACGAAGTAAACTATACAAATAAAAGTATTACCTAGGTTTCAAAATGTTGTGTCTGATCATTTAGCTAAGAATGTCCGATCCTTCCATCGTGATTTGTTGTATGTTGGTTGTTCTATTCCGGTCTGGATCCCCAGACCACCTCAAACTTGAGTAATAGATAAGCCTTTCGTTGTAAAAAAAACAAAAAAACAAAAACATTACTTCGATAAAATTTGTTTTATAGGCTGATCGGTTACTTTATCTACTCTATTAAAATAGAGTCATTCTTTTTATCTACTGATATAAGTTGTCATTTAAATTTGGATCATTTCTAGAGTGTTAGAGCACCCCCATTAGGGGATTTAAGGGGGGGGGGGGGGTTCACACGTTTACCGAGGGAAACAGTGATGAACTCGGCGCGCGTGGGTTCGTCGTGGTGAACCCGGTTCGTCACGAGTTCGCCACGTGGCGAGCTGTGATTCGCCAATTTTTTTTTTTTTTTTTTAAAAAGTAAACGAAAAAAAAATAAAAAAAAAAATAAAAAAAAAACAGCTGGCAAATCCCACCTCAGTATCACTGGTGGGGATGCTCTTACAAATAATACAAGTCATATAGCTGATTGAACCGCATTACTTAATTTAAACCGACAGTTATTTATGGAATAGAGTTTTGGGCTTACTTTTATTTTTATGACAAATTATATAGTTTGGGTTTTGGGCTTAGTATTAAAGAAAAACTCAAAAAACATTGAATAAATGTTCTACATTAATGGTCAAAAAATCAATTACTATTTTAAGGCCCAAAAGTATTTAATATTTTAACAAAACAAAATGATATATTATTAATCACTTAATTAAATCATGTACTTTAAAACATGTTAATATTTTTTTTAGTTTAAATAACAATTACTCTGTCTTGATAAATTTCAATGATAACTTTTATAATAGTTTTTTTTTTCTTTAATAATTTACTAATTTTAAAAAAAAATAAATGTAAAGCAAAACTAAAAACCAAATCTAAAAATTAAAATCCAAAACCAAAAGCTGAAAACGCATGTTATATTTTTGTTTTTGTTTTGTTTATTTACAAAATAAACTATTGTCATCTTTTCAGTTTTAAATTAGATGTTCGATTCTTTGGGATTTTTTTTTGTTGGTTTTTATGAGTTCAAATTAATTCAGCGGATCTAAAAGCTAAAAACCCAAACCAAAAGCTGAAAATCAAAACTAGAAACTTAAAAATTTAAAACAAAAATCAAAATCTAAAACCAAATCTAAAAATAAAAAATAAACTAAAAACTAATGCAAAGCAATAATCACCACAATTTTGGATTACTGATTTTATACCAAAACATACTTTAAATAAATACAAAACCTAATTATATAAACTTTTAATCAAAAAAAATTTACGCGCTTTTAAGCGCGGATCAAAATCTAGTTTGCATTAAATTAGTCTTAAAAACAGGTTAAGCCTAATATTGCTTATTTTATATACAATAAATCCTTATCCGAATTTCCCACTAAATACTCTAGAAATCACCGGTCTACAATGCTTTTTCTATTCATCTTATCCAAGTTCCTTTGTTTCCTAAAGTTGGAATAGACTTTTCCCGCAATATTATGTACGATTAATCAGCATTGAAAATATATATATTAATACATATATATATATATATATATATTAATTAAGAAGTATTACAACATGTTTTGATAGCTACTTGTTATTATGAAAATGTTTCTCAAATTTAGTAATGAAAAATGTTGGTCCATATAAACATATAATATATTTGTTATTAAACTAAACATAAAACTATTATTAATGCTATTCATTATTACTTTAAATAAAATTTACAGAATTACCTAATATATATATATATATATATATATATATGAAAATTAATGATTCGAATATGAAGATTTGATAATAAAATGTATAGCCTCTACTATTTTTGTTAAACTTATATTGTGAAAATAAATTAAACAATAACATTAACTATATAACAAAAAAAAATTAGATTTTTTGATATATGTTATATTTTGAATTTTTAAAAACAACTATAAATTAATAAAACATTTAAAAAATTCACATATAATATTTTTGATTTGTAGTTTAAACCCCTTATATATTAATCTTGGAGTATTACAACATTTTTTTGTAGACACGTATCACAATGAGAATGATTTTCATAACTCTTAGAGAAATATGTTGGTCCAACTAAAAATATGTTATATTTTTATTATACTAACTATCATATTTAATTAGTAGTGTACAAAAGAATATTTCATATTTTTTACTTAAATAAAAGCTACGGAAAATTAGTAGTGTACAAAAGAATATTTCATATTTTTTACTTAAATAAAAGCTACGGAATTACCTAATATGATAAACATATATATCACAATTAATGTTTATGAATAATAAAGAAATCCTAACAATTTTTTATCGTCTATACTTTTTATTTAATTTTATATTATTAAAAGAAATTAAAAAATTACATTAATCATATAATAAAAATTAGATTTTTTCTTATATGTTATATATATATTTTTTAAATGATCATAAATTACTAAAAATGGTAAAAATTTCACATTGAAAATTTTGTGATCAGTGATAACGTTTTTTAGTTCAGCCAATCGTTTTTCTAATGGGTCTTAAACAATTCATAGTGATTAACTAAATGGATCGTAAATAATAGAGAGTGTTTTGTTTAAAAACTATTGCATACCCAAAATCAATATGAACCATCATCCCTTTCGTTTAAATTTTTGTTACAATAAAAATATATGGTTGGGAAAAAAATGAATCCAGATAACTGAACCAAATCTAATCCAAAAAGTAGTAAATATGTTTTACCATAAATTGTTAGATATCTAAATGGATTCGAAATTTTGGTATCTATAGAACCAAAACTGAATCGAAATATTTCGGGTATCCGAGTGTTCTCGAACCATATTTATATACTTAAATATATTAATTATTTTAAAATTTAACATCTAAGAATATACAAAATACATGAGATTTTTGGAAAAAATTCAAAATACTTATAAATATATAAAATAGTTAAACATACATTTTTAAAATAGCTAAACGATACTCCAAATACCAAAAATATTTGAAATATTTATTGATTTTTTTCTAAATATTTAAAGATAAACCAATTTTATGTCAAGTTTAAGTATTTTGGCATTCATTTTTCAAATTTAGATATTATATATTAGTTTTACTTTTAGATTTTGAAAAATTTAAAGTATATATGAATTTTAATCTTTTAAAAGAAAAATTAGATGGTCGAACCTAAACCCAATCTGAACCTGCAAAGGTTCGAAACAAACCACAAAGATCTAAACCAAACAAAATCTAACCGAACCAAATGGTATCCAAATGCACATCCCTAGTCAAATGTACAAAGAGATTATTTGCCAATACACCCCAAATAGAGGTCTATATTAGCCGCTCGCCCATGATGGGACTGATTTATTTTGTATGACCAAATTGCCCTTCCTTCTCTCTCCTTCCTGCATTTGCATGTGGGTTTGTCAGTTTTTTTTTCATTTTCGTTATCAATGCTCTTCTCTCCTCTTATCATTTTTAAAATGAATTACATGCAAAATAAATATGTTAAATATTTTTTATTTTGAGTTCACTTTGATTCTTAAATAATAATTTTAAATTTTACATTTACTCAATGTGATTGGGAAATACAAAATTCAGTGATACTTATTTGTTAACAGCTAATACATAACACCTCTATTAAGATATATAATTTTTATAAATATCTAACACTTCTGTTAACACCTCTGATACGTATACTTGTTAACAACTAACACCTTTGTTAACATCTGAAACATGTATTTGTTAACAGCTAAAACCTCTGTTAACATCTACATTATTTGTTAACCATTAACAACTTTGTTAACAATCGACACTGGTGATTATTAACAGAGACATTAACTGTTAATAAATTTTATGAATGTTAACAAATGTGTTAGCTGTTAACAAATACAAGTAATATCGAATTTATAACAAATTGTAGATTTTAGAAATGTTGAGATCTTGCAATCAATTGTAATTTATGTTTACAATTATATCAAATATTAAATTATTTTATCTATTAAAATATTTTGATATTATATTTTCAAAAATATTATTATTCGATAATATTGTTAACCTTTAAAAAAATCTAGCAAACATGTGACAAAAATGATGTAGGTATAGGTAATAGGACTATCACTTCTCTGTAACCATCAGAAAAATGTGTTAGGTGCCGAAGGACATTTTCGTCCAAAACCAAATAAAAATGTATGTTTTCATCCCCAAATATCACTCAATGGACAAGTCACTAATTAGATCTCCATTATGGGTATTGTTCTAATTCTCTCATGTAAAAAAGGTTATTGATAGCCAAATATGTATGTAAATACAACATATTTTTTACAAAGCTCACCTCGCACATAACTGATTATCATCTAGTTAACAATTAATCATCTAGAGACCATCAAAGCAGTTTTTGAATACTGATCACAAATAATATCAACTCAGCCAAATAAATCTAGTTACCTCATCAAATACTCTTACACACTTTATATATATATACTATACTACGTGTTTTCCTGCACCATGTGCAGTGATAAACCTTTTAAAAGTTAAATTATATTTAAAATAAAATGTACTAATATTATATATTTTATTATTTTGACTAATATTTAATATAAATTTGATTTAATTAAGTACAAAATTAAGAAAAAAAATATATTTGTTTATTTTAAATTATATTTAATAATATATAGGAAAATACTCTCGAATATATCTTTTTAAATTTTTTTCATAAAAATAGAACACAAAAACTAAAACGACCAAAATATCATTTTTTATTTTAAATTTTTTATTTTTTTAAATTCAAAAATCCTATTCCCGAAACCCCACTCCTCAACTCTAAAGCTTAAACTCTAAACCCTAAACTCTAAACCCTAAACTCTAAACCTTAAACCTTAAACCCTAAACCTCACATCTTAACTCTAAATCATAATGTCTAGATTTATTAACCCTATGGGTATAAGTGTATATTACTTATTTTGATAAAAATTTAAATCTATTTTAGTCATTTTTATTTTTAAGATCTATATTTGTGACAAAAACTTTTTTTAGGTCTATCCTACGGAATTTCTCTAATATATATGTAATATATTTAAAATTTGAATCTTAGAAACTTTTTTATCTATTTATTTTTATAAATGTTTTAAAACAACTTGTATAAAATTACTAAGAAAATTTATATAAAAAATTGTATAGTTATTAAATTTTGTAACTAATATAAAATTTATCGATATCTAAAAGATATTAATGATATTACGATTAAAAGATTATTAATTTCTTAAAAAGATGTAGAAAATTTTGAAAATATTTGTAATAAAATTCCTATAATTATAAAATTAAAATTAAATTAACATTTCGAAATTTTTAATCCATATTTCAATATATATATTTTTAGTGGTGATTTGATTTACAAATTATTACCATATTTTAAAAAATTTACCAAAAATATAAATCAACATTTAATGTAATGTATTAGTTATTTTCATATTCCATAAAGTTTACTAAAATATACATCAGCAATAAATGTAATAATTCATGTCATATTTAAATATTAGTCATGTCATTAATCTTATTAGTTATGTTATAATTTTTTATAAAAATAATTATATAAAAACATGTGGCAAATCACTTCACAAATAATATATAAGATATATATATATATATATGTATATATATTTTGATTAAATAGTAGATGTGTCCAAGTCAAATCATGCTCTGGTGAACCGGTCCAGAGACAGCAAGAAATGCCGTTACTTTACATAAGAGAGAAATCCACACTGTCTGGCTACACGTGAAACTAGTAATCGATTACTGATTTAGACCAGAACGACTCTCCATCCAGTAAAAATCATTAGAACACTGACGAGTGAGTCACACTTGATACTGAACCGAACCTAACCTAGTTCGGTCATTTGCACTTATATATACATACATTAATTTCTAGATATCTATTTCAGAAGTAATTTTTATATTTCTTTTTTATTCTCCAAAGCTATCTACAAGCTCATGGGGTAGGACCATAAGATCAAAAGAATTTGGATGATCTATATTATTGTCACTGGTCCATTGCGCCAGTTGATTACTCTTTCACATCATTAAATTTTAAACTATATCTCTGTGTAATATTCAAAGCCATTTAATCAGTATAAGTAATAGGGATAATTTGGAAAATACCCTATTTAGGATTTGAAATTTGAAAAGCACACTGTCTCTAATTTCTTTTGAAAACTACACTTTCTTTAATGTGAATTTACTTTTTACCCCAGTTGAATATTTCAATAATTAATACATAAATTCGTAATTAATAATAATTTATAATTATTTATGTTTACAATAAATATGTGTTTAAAGATAAATATGTTACAATAACAAAGATATATAAAACAAATAAAATTATGATTCATGTTGAGTTTATCATGATGTTAATATAGATTTTAATTTATTTTGTTAACTTTAAAATAAATAAAATTTATTATTCAATATAATTAAATTTATAAATATATTAAAAATATGGGAAAGATATTATGTAGTTTAAAAAGATATTATGCATATTCTCTAACGATTTTTCCTTTTTTTCTAAAAAAAATTAAAAATATAATAAAATTGAGAAATATTAAGATTGGGCAATTTAGTAAATTTATATATAAATGAGTGTATTTTACAAAAGCTCAAATCAAGGGTGTATTTTTCAAATTATAATCTTATTGAAGTGCATTTATCCAAATTTCCCCTAAGTAATATCTCAATATATATCCCAAAAAACAATAGTATTTTAATCATCACCAACTAATTTGTGCTAATAATCGGGGCATATCTATTATATTAAAACAGAAGTCACAACTTCTTTTCATGTGTGATATTTTAAAAATAGATCATTCTTTAAAGATAATGTTTCATTTATATCTTAATAACATTTTAGTATAACTTAATATATATATATATATATATTATATTAAAACAGAAGTCACAACTTCTTTTTATGTGTGATATTTTAAAAATGGACCATTCTTAGAAAATAATGTTTCATTTATATCTTAATAACATTTTAGTATAACTTAATTACAATATGTTTTGATATCTTTTCTTTTATTTATAATAGTATAATGCACCAGCTTCCAGGTTCGGCTGATGGGTTGGGAGACGGTTCACATGCACAGTGGCCGGCACCATGGTAGACTAAACACAATGAATACACGCAAAATAATTAAACGTGAACAACTGAAGATGATAATAAACCAATAAATAAAGCTATAAGAACGGTGTTAAGGATTATAGAAAACCTGGTCCTTTAGAACAATGATCCTTGATAAGTTTTGAGAGAGGTGCTCATTCACAGAGCACTCTAGCTCTTCAACTGTTGTATCAGTTTTAATAAAATCTGTAATTATATGTAAATTTTATTTTATGTTAGATTGAGTGTGAATATGATTTTTTGTTTACAACAAATTTCAACTATAGAACTAAAATTATTTAATTCTTATTTAAAATTATAGATTGGGATACTAATCAAAGTCCCATCAGCAACTTTGAAGGAAAGAATCGAATAATTTCATAAGGAAAAAGCTTAAATAGCATAAAGTATTTCGCGTTTTAAGCAAAGGCATATGATTAAATGGGAAACCTAAATAAACTATTACATTTTAATTAGCAACACTTATTGAAGAACTTTTCTGTTCATTTTATTGATTAAAAATTAACCTTAGAAAACGCGGAGAGAGTTGTTCCCGAGATTGATGGGCTGACCACGGAGTTTGACGGCGAGGTGACCCACTCCTGTGAGTATAAATCCGGCGAGAAATATAGAGGAAAGAGTGTTCTTGTCGTCGGATGTGGAAACTCCGGCATGGAAGTTTCTCTTGTTCTCGCAAATCACAATGCTAATCCCTCCATGGTTGTTCGTAGCTCGGTAAGTTATAAAAATCAAAAGTTTCCAACTTTATAATTTTATAGCCAATAAAGATTCGACCAGTAAGCTGATCTTGTTGTTCGGTATTAATTTTGATCAGGTACATGTGTTACCGAGGGAGATTCTAGGCAAATCTACTTTCGAAATCTCAATGGTACAAATCTCTTGTTGGAAACAGTTTTTGACACAGTGATCTTTTCGACTTTTCTGGTGGCTTTTCCGGCCAAACCAGTGGTTGTCTTGATCAGTTTGTTATATCATTGGAAAGCTTGTAACAAGTACTACAATTTGATATATTGAAACGTCAAAAACAGATTTAAATTGAATGAGAAATGAGGCTAGAAAGTGGGCATCTTAGTGCAAATAAAAGACTGCAATTTTGTCAAAGTGACAAAACCTCCAGAGTCCCACATCGGGTATCTCTAGCATCAGAGAGGGGTATATATATGGAGTCATACTTACCTTGGTTCAAATGAGTCAAAGGAAGAGATGGCTCCCCACGCGCGCCGCCGCCGTCCGGCCGGCTCGGCTTGGGCGTAAGATTCTTCTTCTTCTTACAATATTTTGAGTTAGATGAACAGATCACTCCTCTAAGCAGGGCTTGGGCCAAATTAAGCCTAACGCTCCATGTTTAAATTTAAAAACAGCATGATGTGTGTAAATAAACAACACGTAGTTTGTGTAAAACAACACGAAGTCTATCTGTTTGCAAAACAATTTGAACGAGTCAGATAAAAGAGAAGATCTTGCGGAGAAAGTTTCTGAGCTTCCACTCCCGAGATCTCAGCGAGATTTTCGCCCACGTGCAGCAGTTGTTGCGGGAAGTGGGTCTTCTCCGTCTCTTTAAATATTGCCTCTCCTCCTTCTTCATTCTTAACTTTTTCACGCAAGAAAAAACCAGCAAATCTCCCAAAGTAAGTTTAGAGAGTGTTCGTAGAGTTTATGTTCGTTAGGTCGTTTCACGAGTGACGCGTGATTCGTCTGCCATGGTTGTATCCTGCGACTCGATATTCGTACAGTTTCGTCTCACTACGGAGCGAATATTAAGAGTTAAGGAAAGAGATTTATCTCGCCTCCATGTCTTATATAATCGTTTATTTCCTTAACTCCGTCTTTCTTATATCGTTCATGTCGATCCGGTTTTCCGGCTTCTACAATCTTAACTCTTAATCGCTTTCTGTCTAAAGCTTTAATCGGGTTGGAAAAAGCGATGTATAGAAACGGGTTCTGGAATCGTGTTTGCGATTTGCTCTATAGCACTTCCGCGAAACGTTTAACGTTTATTATATGTATACTATACGTGTTTGCGATTTGCTCTACAGCACTTCCGCGAAACGGTCTTCGAAACGCTGTTTGCGATTTGGTTTTTATCATTTCCGCGAAACGTTTCTTACTTATCTC